TAAATAAATAAATAAAGACAATTCCATCTTTATTTTGATGAGGACACTCAAAGCACCTATCAAGCCTCACAAGGCGACTTAGAGAACCAAAAGTTGCCGACCGACTGGTATTTACATCGTGGACGTTCTGAAGTTCACAGAAGAGCCCTGATCACAGTACTAGCGGCACAGGATCACTGTGAGCACATTCGGTGGCTGGGCGGTCCTCGGTGCTGTAGCTGAAGCGCCACTTCACTGTCACCGCGGCGAGTGGGACAGGCAGGTCCACATTTCAAAGCTGAGAGGTCCGAGGACTGGGGCAGGTACCTGTCCCCTTCAAACCACAGCGGACAGAATGGGGCCAAGAGTCTCACTGTGGTCACCCAGGGTCCCAGGCTACTGCTGATTTCTTGCTTTTCTAAGCAATTTACAGTCATAGATTATAGTGATGAGCTAGTCATTCTGATAGAGGGAAACATTAGCCATGGTTTGCCCAAAATAATGGATAGTAAAAAAAAATCATTCCATTTTTTAACCGTGCTAATTTATGCTTGCTTGCCCATTTCGTTATTTTTTTTTTAACAGTTTTGTTCTCTTCTTGGAGTTAGGGTGAGTTTCATATTAATAGATCACATTTTTTCAACTAAGATCTGAGTAGAGATTAATACAAAAAAGAGATTGCACAAGAAAGCCGCATTCAACGATTATAAGAAGGAAATGATTTGCCCACAAAAGCACCACACTCCAGGGTGGTCCCTGTGTGTCTCTGAGCACACAGCTACTACAAGCAAATACTTGTGCACATAATTTGAACAGTAAAATCTGACATATCAAACCGACATATCAAACCGTATTTTTTAGATCTTGTAATACATCTATCCAATTGCCTTATTTGTTGTTAAAATCTCGTTAGTTCTGTGAAGTAATATCGCTTAATTGAAAGAGAGAGAGAGAGGAGTGAGGGTTCATGCAAGAAAAGTTGCCATGGTAACCATGCAGATCTATTTGTTGTGTAAAAGGTGCATTTGTATTGACTTGATATTAAAGCTGTAAAAGCATGCGGTGTGTTTTTAGTGGTACTGTCAGCGACCTTCTGCTGTCCGGTCATTGGTAGGTGACCCCCTTGGAACAAACAGAAAAGCAGGTGGGCAACATCCAATCCACAAGAGCCCCATCACAACCATTAAAACTAGGATCTTGTTTCTGCAAAATTGAATTACTTTTCGAAGCTACTGCAATGGCTCAGTCCTTTATTTCCCATTTTTACACTTTTCACCTGATAACGAATATTTCTCCATGTGTGTCTGGTGGTTACTACATAAAAATCCAGTGAACCCACCACATTGTTATGAGGAGTCAAAGCAGTGAAAACTCCAATTTTATACATTTTAAAGGAAATGCTTTTATTTTACCTTCAAGCGGTGTGGCAATACATGGAGATGGAGACATTTCATTTGCGTCTTGATGAATATGAAGAGCAAGCAAATGGTTACCGCAGGTATAAGCAGATTTCTGTCACTCATTCACAGAGGAGCTTAGGTTTTGTTTGGTTTTTCAGAGATTAAGTTTCACTTTCTGCTATTTCTGAGCAAAATGACCTCAAAGTTTTCCTGTAGTCTTTATTCTGTAGTTGATGTCAGTGATGGGCAGATGACACATCTTTTAATCCTCCCCTAGCTCAGGAAATAGCAAGTCTTATAAGAGTGAAATAGGAAGAGTTATGACTCTAGATGATGCTCCTACAATATTCTACTACAAGTAGCCAGTAAAAAAGAGCTCTGTGCATTTCCAGATAACAGGCTCCCACATGCCCTCGTCCGAAGGACATCCTTAGGACCGACACCGAACCCTACACTCTGAAAGTGCATCTCATAAATACCCACAAAATGGATTTATGTTACCTTAAACTCTCTCAGCATTGACCACCGGAATATATAAAGACACATTAATGATTTATGTGTCCCAGATCTCCTTGGAAGGGAAAAAAATAAAGGACCAAAAATCAGACAGAAAACAGCCATTTTCCTGAAGCAGGCATGCTCAGTAGAGCAAGAAGGGGAAGAGTTGATTTGAAAACTACCCCACTAATGCAAGGGAAAGGCACCTCAGACCTGAAACTTACTTAACATGTTATACATTTGTTTTCTGAATCCCAAATGGAGTGTTTTCTCTCTGTCTTCTAAAACCTATACACTAAATATCTGGGGGGAAAGGAAACGTTCATTTGATTACAGTAGTCTCTTTTGCTACTCATAATTGGAGACAAACATAGCTGTTCTTTGTTCAATAAACAAAACTTTATTGAATACCATCTAAATGCCAGGCACTATTGACTGTGAAGTTTAAAAGCCTAGTGAAAAAAAAAACAAAAAACACAGACAATTAAGAAGGTGATTATGGAGTTAATTAAAGAAGGGATTAATAATAATGACAAAATCTCCATAGAATAGAGAGAGAAAAACACACATATACATTCGCTTTTAATAATGCATAGATAAGAGAAGAAATTATAATGTGAATTTGTAATGTCAAAATTAAAACATAAAAGTATACTTGAAAAAAAAATGAATAAAAGAATACACCAATAGTTGTGGAACCCAATAAAAATGGTGAGTAAAGGAAGGTGATATCTGTGAACTCATGTTGTAATAGGTCTGCAGAGCCTAGAATACAGTAGGCACTTAATTAATGACAACTTATTGATTCCCATTCAAATAAAGGGCACTGAAATGCTGAAAACTATGGGAAAACAATCATGTCATTCTCAAATCATAGCATCACATGTGAGAGAAAAAACACAGATGGGGAAAACAGCACGGAGTGTGGCCCTGATAAAACGGCCCAAAAGAGAAAGGAATGGGGAGCTCCTGGAGCTCATTGAAGGTCTCAGAATGACTTCTGGTTTACTTTCCCATTTCCCAAGACTCAGTATTTTTGAACCCGGCTTCTCTTCACATATACCTACCAACAAGACAATACAGATGCCTAGATCCACACTAACCAGCTAAATCTTCAGAGCCGAGATTGGCAACGACTAGCAAAATTTAAGAAATCAGACACATTGTACAATGGTGGGCTGAAGGCCTGGGGTGGGGGGTGGGGGTGAGGGCTAGAAGAGGTTAATGGGGAAGAAGAGGGGGCATCTGTAATACTTTCAACAATAAAGATAAATTTAAAATAGAAAAGAAAATAGACACGATGATATTGCCTGGCAACATCTTCTTAAAAAGAAGACATTAAAAAGTTCTAGCGAGAAAGGAAGATCAAATCAGTAAAAGGCTCAGGGACTTCTAACAGCAACCTGGGAAGCTGGACGTTCTTGGAGCCGTGTCTTCAAGTCTAGTCAGAAATGACTTCCAGCTTAGACGCCAGTCAAACTCCGTCCTGTGTGAGCATAGCTTTTTCTGCGGGGATTTTCTGAGGTGGGAGGTCTCTAACCCCCTCCCACCTTGTGTCCTCGCTTAGAGAGCTCCTTGGGATGTTTTCCCCTAAATGAGGGCTATGCCAGGAAAGAGCACATCATGCTGAATGGAAAATGGGAGACTCTGCACAGGAGATAAACGAAGGGAATGTCTGTGAGGATCATGAAGAAGGAGCATAAGGAGACAGCTGTGCAACAGGCGCGGGGGGGGGGGGGGGGGGGGGGGGGGCAGCGCGGGACTCAGTCTAGTTCCCAGTAGTTAGGTCCAAAGAAGAGAGTTGTCATCATCACCACAACTTCTGTCCATGAACCATCTTTTAAACTTGAGGAAACTATTTGAGCGTCAGCTCCACCCAAACAATGGAGCAAACCAGGAACGGAGAGACCTTGACAAGCAGGAAATGGGTGTGTGACTTCAGATGACAGGAAAGGGAATTGGAATGTAGAGAGGGGGAGGGGGGGAGCAGACCCAGAAAATGAAGGAGAAGATGGGTCTCAGTAGTAAGACCCCTAAAGAAAATTCAGAATTCACAGCTTCCTAAAATTTAGTAATTTTTGGAAAGTAACTCTGACAGGATATAGAAGATGCTGGAAGATGTAGAAATATGTACAAGAAACCGCAAATCAAAACAACAACAACAAAAAATAAGCAAGGCATAATTAACTTCAGTACAGATTGAAAAAAAAAAGTAACTGTGACCCTATTATGGCACAATGGTAATTTTTAAGAACAGAAATACTGAATATTGCTTTCACCCCACATGTCAATACAATTATAGGAGGAGGAGAAGGGAGGCCGATAAAAATGTTGGCCGTGTAAGAGCACAAATCCCCGTCTACCCAGGGTGTCAGGAGAAAAAATCTGAAATTAATGAACCCAATGAACTCAATTCACTCCTATTAATTAGGATGATGGATGCTGAGCAACTAAAAAATAAATAAAGTGGCTGCTTTTGGAGGACACGGCATGGGGGTGGGCGGTGCAGCAGAGAACTTTTGGTTATAAGCCATTTCGTTTACCATTTAACTTGTTAAGCTATTGCACATGCATTGCTTTGATAAAATGGAATTCAATTAAAACATTCGTAATGCGGCTTTTAAGCCTCTTAGGTATAATCAGGCTGGCTTCTCCAGGAAATAACTGTTTCAATCACCATCTGTTTCAGGAATGCCCACTTGCCTTGACCTTTGCACAGCAACGGGACCCTCACCAGAGGGCGGGCACGCACCGCACCTGCACCATCCCACCCTGGCAACTCCAGCAGGCACAGAGGACCAGGCAGTGTTGAAGACACCTGTAGATAAAGAAACTCTTTCTTTTCTCTGCAAACAGGAGAATGGCTGCCTAGCAACCGTTACCCTGCCTACACCACACAGGGAGGAGGGATGAGACCACACATCTCCAGCTCTGTACCTACGATGAACTCCAGTCTAGCACAAATTAGAACTTATATCCCTGGTTAGTTTGGAATTATTTTGCTACTATCAAATTGAACTTTCTCATGAATCAAAGGTATAGGAAGAACAGGTTTAAGTAGAAACAAGCGCATCAAATTACCTGGAGTGTGTGTAAACGTTTTTCCCCGAATTGGTTTAATCATTTAAAATAATATGTGCACAAAAGCCCAGTGCCAAGCAGTCAGCGATGCTGCAAAGCATGTGTGGTTGGGAGGCCGAAGCTGAGTGAATTCCATTAGGACTCCTTGCATTATGTCCCACTGCATTATCCTTTCCACTTGAGTGAACGCACTGTACTCCATTTGGACTTAGTCACGCCGTAGTCTCCCTGTCAGAAAATGCGCATTTCTGTGATCACATGAAAGATGTGTTGGAGATTTATTGGAAAAGTGGGTGTAGAAAAGGCGTTAAGTGCTTCTGAGATCATTTCTCTTTTATGATGATTTGTAAAAAGCTCTGGAAACAAGGTACAAAGCTTCTAGGAGCGTCAGGAGCAAACCCATAGGCCTGGTGGGCGGAGAGTCCTCAATCAGCAGCACCCCATTAACCCTTTGCCCAGAATGAGTCACACTGCTGTTCTCTGTTATGAAAATGAAGGGATTGAAAACCAAGAATCTTTCTTTCTCTCTCTCTCTCTCTCTCTCTCTCTAATTCTCTCTCTCTCTCTCTTTTTCTCCGAACTTTGGGCATCTGACAACTCATAACAATCCATTAATTAAATGTCTCCAACTCTTTTTCCTGATTTATAAAGTCAAGCACAATTTACATGACAAACAGAGCCCCACCCCCACCCCCACACCCCAAAAAAGCTGTCCTGGATTAGAATGAGTTCCAGGAACAACTGTCACAGAGCAAAGGTGGTGGGTCCTTTGCCAGTCACGTGGGTACATACAGGGGGACCCTATTCTGAGGCAATAGGTTCTTCCACAGAGAGAGCATTTGTATGCATGAGGCCATCTGATGAGAAGCAGAGAAAACCCCAATTTGTCTCCCCGATAAAGATTTGGAGCAAAGTTAAAGAAGGCGAGAGGCTCTGTGTATTCTCTCACTCTGCTTCAGATCTGAGTGGATGTCCTTGAAGGAGCCCACCTAAGGCAGCGGTTCTCAACCTGTGGGTCGCGACCCCTTGGGCGGTCGAATGACCCTTTCACAGAGGTCGCCTAAGACCATCCTGCATATCAGATATTTACATGACGATTCATAACAGTAGCAACATTACAGTGATGAAGTAGCAACGAAAATAATTTCATGGTTGGGTCACAACATGAGGAACTGTATTTAAAGGGCCAGAAGGCTGAGAACCACTGACCTAAGGTAAGGGACGTGGAGGAAAGCAGGAGGCCAGGAGGGGACACAGCGATTGCAGCCCAGCTGAGTGCGAGAGGTGAGTCCGTTGCGCATCCATTTTGTTGGAGACACAGGATGTCCTTACTGATGGGCCTCTCCCTTTTTAAAGGGTTCTGACTGGGAAACAGCAGCACCTGTTACTTGAGTTCCAGAAACTTTGGTTCCTCTTGTCTCTCTCTTCAGTTTCAGGACATTTGGCTGCTGAGTGCACCTGCTCGAGCCTTTGGGGCCAGTGTGATCCGGGCAGGTCTGCTGGTCTGCAGAGCGCTGTGAGGAGGCCCACTGTTATCCACAGAAAAACAAGCAAAAATACTAGATAAGGGGGAAAATCTGAACCACTTTAGGGCTTACCCACCATAAATCTTCGCATATATCTTTTTCTGAAGTGACCGGTAGAGCCAGACAGTGCTGTAATGTGTGTGTGTTTAAGATATTTATTTGTTTATTACATTTTTAAAATGCTGACATGACTGCAGGTGCCCCTTTTTCTTCTCCATTTGCCACCCTGGCCTCCCCCTCCCTTGGCCTTCCCCAAACTATTGTCCATGTCCAGGGGGTAATGTGTGCCTGAGTGTTCCACCAACTCGCTGCCACCATTGCTTTCACCGAATCTGAAGAACTCCAACGTGCCGCTCTGTCTCTAGGAAATGTCCTGATTTGAGCAGTAAATCCTGATTTCACGTGGGAAAAAAGTCTTTCTCCTATCATGGCCATCAGCGCTCATGGTAAGCCTATTGTGAACGTGATAGAAGACCTCATATCATCGTACGCCCGGAGTGGTGGCTGTAAACAGTCATTGTTCCTGATAGCATGAGCTCCAGGAGGCACAGCTCTTTCTCCTGGACCTGAAGGGCACGTGTGATGCCGTGTGTTTGATCTCTGGCGAGGGCTCAGTATAGCAACTCAGCACCATGGCTGGGAACCTTTGCAGGTGTGATCTTCTGTCAGAAAAAGGATGAGCACTAGCAATGCCAGTCCTGCTCCCCATAACTGCAGAGCGCGGGCGGAAGGCCTCCCCGGGGAGGAGGAGAGCGAATACCAGCTGGAACATTTAAGATCGCCCCCACCTTTCATTTCCAATAACCGGATGCAGTTGCTCCCCCGGTGGCAGCAACGCCATTCGCAGGCTGGTGATCGCCACAGGCTTTGCCCTCCCGGGATTCCTTCTGGCATTTGTTCAGGAGCAACAGGCTCCGGATCAGACGGGGAGGGAGGGGGTGCACTTACCCAGAACCTACATTTCCCCCCAAATCCTGCTCCCTCAGTGGGATCCACAGCAATACAGCAGTTTGCTCTGGGGACTGCCAGGGTGAACAATCAATCACAACAAATCTGCTGCTCGAGAGCTCTCACTTCCTGGGAGATTTGTAACCGCAGGAAGAGGCAAGGGTGTTAATGAGGTCTATAAATTAAGGGAAAGCGGGGTAATTACGTCCTAGGTGGCAATAAAGGCTGAGGTGGCTAATCCCATTAAAGGGAATGAAATAGTTTCTTAGGTTGTGAAGATAACGTGAGTAAAAATATGACTGTAAATAAAGGGTCCTTCTGTCGTCGCGTCCATGAGTTATGGCGTGGGCGTTCTCATGGGGCCTGGTCTTACCCTGAGCCTCCCGGGGCTGGGAGTTTGGAGAGGGTCTGTGTGCAGCTGTGAGCTGGGGAGAAGGCAGCGTGTACACTAGCATTTTCCCAGCAGCCTCTGCCAGCACCTGGGTCCCAGTCCACGCAATTAGGGCACATTCCTCTAGCTCAGTCGGCACACCTGCATCTTTTTTGACATGAGAGTCTTTATCTTTCAGATTCCTCATTCAATCCTTTATCCAGGAGCATGTGACACATAGTCTAGCGGGCCCACAGCGGAGGTACACGTAGGAAGAGATAAAAAAGAAATGAAAAGAGGTTTGTCGATGCTGTGCCCCAGTGATTAGCCATTCACGGCAAGGATGTGATGCATGGTGGAGACAGCAAGGCTCTCCACAATCTCTCCTAATTTTGATATATTTGTAATATGCTAAGGATATTCCTAGGGCTGCATCTTGATTACGCTCTTGTATCCAAACAACAACCCTACAGCAACGCAGACTGAGATGGACGGTTTGCACACCTTGTCAGAAGGACAACCGCTCCTACAGCGCGCATTCAGGTGCGAACATTAACCGCGCTGATTCCCAAGCTCATGCTGCAGCAGCTTATTCATTATATTAATTACCTCCCATCGCCCGAGAGTCTGTTCCTGGGCCGGAGTGGAGTAAATGACACGGCAGAAAAAGAACCGCTATTCCGGCAGGTGAAAAAGAAAGAAAATGGTCACAGTTGCTAACATTCCAATGTGCTAAGAAAGTCAGTAAAACGAACAGGACTTGGGCAAGATTTATAGGTGTGAAGGCCAAAGATAGTAGTATTCTTTTTTATTTTTATAATGTTATTGGAGGATGAAACTAAAATTGGTAAAAATAAAATGTAGTTACCCATTTAGTCAAAGAGTGGTTTCAAAATAACTTCAAAATCATATAGATTTGAGTACAAAAACCGTTCTCTATAACTTTATGGCTGTGGGATCTTGAAAAATGTACTTAACTGCTTTGATATCAGTTTATTCATTTGAAAAATTATAATAATATTATTATTAGTATCTAAAGTCCTAATATATATAAAAAAATAAAAATTTGAACCAAGGAAGGTTGGCCAACAGTAAGACTATATGAATGTTGTGTTTTTGTTCTTGCTTATTTATTTACACAGGACAAGGGAGTCTAGAGATATTCTTTAAGGTTAATGTTAGAAAATAGACTTTCTCCCCCCCCCCCCCCACACACACACTACACCTACAGGGTTCACATATCAGAAAACATAAAACCACAAAACAGAAGAGAAATGCAAAAGGGTTAAATGTGGCCCCAGGTGACTTAGACAATACACTGTGTTCCTCTGCAAAAGATGTGCTACTAGAACCAGCTTAAAAATACCAGCGCTCTACTGGTGGCAGAGGCTAGGTGTAAAATAAAGTACAAACGCAGATGTAACAAGGGAGGCATGGCAAATCAGGAAAATGCAAAACAAATGGGAAGGTGAAGATTAGTAATAGTAAAACCCAAGGCAAACAGCGACAGAGAGGAAAACTAGAGTATTTAGATCGCTAAACCGCACATTAGATACTGACGATATGACATGAGTCTTTCTGTTCCATGAAAAGCAGCCGCATGAACATCTATGACCCAATGCTCTCTAACATTGTCAGAAATGTCTCTTCTGATTTGAGAGACTACGGATGCTGCCACTGTGGCCCGGCGGGTGGAGTGGGGAGGGTGACTGCTGGCAGGCAGGACTGCTCAGGAAGCATGCAGTGTGGCCACTGCCCTGGGCTCCGTGAGGGGCGGGTCCTGCTGCTCTCAATCTGATAGAGCATCCCTTTCACTTACTCTGTGTTCTCCTTGTGGTAACAGCAACGTAGGGATGCCAGGGTCCATGTTCCTCTGTGTTTATGTCGGTATCCCCGAACCTGGAAGCCAGCCTTGCAGCATAATGAATGGTCCAGGATGCGTCCCTGAAGACGAGTAAAAGTGTATGTACCTCTGCACAATTCTCCTTGCTGGTGTGGCATTGCCCCAAAGCACGCCCACATCCCTGTCCAACTCCCGGGCTCAGGGAGAGAACCCACACACTTGGCGAGGCTCCCCGGGGCCCCCTCCATCATGAACACCTGGCTGTCTGAACCCTACAGCCTGGCCTGGATTCCCGTGGTAATACTTTTTCCCTGCCTTGTCATGTGGCCCTGACCTGACCCAGACCTGACAAAACCAACACCCACGTAGGTACCAAAGAGGAATTCCAGTCTGCCCAGGGAGTGCATTGCTATTTAGCAATGTATTTAAGCACAGATGAAACTATTCTTTTTTTTAACTTTTCATTATTTCCAATTTTAATGATGGACTGATCCAGATTATAAAGGGATCCTTGTTTTTCTTTATATAAAACCCCCTTCCACATGCCGTTAGATTCTCCAATTTCAGGCCCACTCACACTGTTTTACATGAGCGGCTCAACAAAACTTGTATCCCCTTCTTCTAGTCATGCTTCGGCTGGAAGAAGCGAGGGGGCTTGTCGTGCCCATGCTGTGTACGGTGACATAACAGATCTGCTTGGCTTCTATTTAAAATGGCAGAATGTCCACCATGGACACTCCTCAGCCACAAGGAGAGACCATATGCTGCTGTTTGCGCCAACAGGGATGGACCTTGAGGTCATGTTGAGTGAAATAAATCCGTCAGAAAAAACTAGTACCCTCATGACTTCACTCACGGGTGGAATATAAGATCGAAACTCATGGACACAGACAACAGTGTGGCGGTTACCAGAGGGAAGGGGTGGTGGGATGGCGGGGGCAGGAGTGGCCTAATACGTGATGGCAGAAGATGGCTTGGCTTTGGGTGGTGGGCACACTGAGCCATACGCAGATTTCATCTTATGGAAAAGGTACACTTGAAGCCTATATGATTCTACTAACCACGGTCACCCCAATACATGTCATTTAAAACATAACGTCACAGAATGTCCTTTTATTCCTCCTACTGCCCGGTTTTACTATTTCCCCTGCCAGGGCTTTGACTGGTGAATAGCCTCAAGCGAGGCGCTGGCTGCTGCTTTTACTTCTCACTTCAATCAACAAGCTGTTTCTTTCCACGTTACTGTGCCTCCATCGCACCTGGGATCCGGACTGTGAAGGAGACCACCGCAGGCTGCAGCCCGGCTCCCTGCTCACCGACCTGGAGTGCCTGGGCCTTGGACAGGTGAGCTCCCAGGATCTCCAGTGTTGGCCAAGTTTTCTGGGAAGAGCGCGCATTTCCCACAAGCTCCCCATCCTACAAGCTCCCCTTCCCACAAGCTCCCCTTCCTACAAGCTCCCCTTCCTACAAGTTCCCTTTCCTACAAGCTCCCTCTCCTTCAAGCTCCCTTTCCTACAAGCTCCCTTTCCTACAAGCTCCCTTTCCTACAAGCTCCCTTTCCTACAAGTTCCCCTTCCTACAAGCAGCTCCCTGCTCACCGACCTGGAGCGCCTGGGCCTTGGACAGGTGAGCTCCCGGGATCGCCAGTGTTGGCCAAGTTTTCTGGGAAGAGCGCGCATTTCCTACAAGTTCCCTTTCCTACAAGTTCCCTTTCCTACAAGTTCCCTCTCCTACAAGTTCCCTTTCCTACAAGCTCACAGGGGTTCTGTGGAGCGCCGGGAGCAGTTGTGTGCAGGGTTGGGCGGAGCAGCTTTCTCCATCTCCTGGAAAAGACCCTGACCCTCAGGGAGGTCTCTGCACGCCTCCCGCGCACAGGCACACGGGTGCCCAGGCTTCAGAGTGATTGGCAAGGTGAGTTTCCCCGGCTCTGCTCAAGGTTTTAGTTTTTTTAAAAATATATTTTTATTGGTTTCAGAGAGGAAGGGAGAGGGAGAGAGAGATAGAAACATCAATGATGAGAGAGAATCATGGATCGGCTGCCTCCTGCATGCCCCCCACTGGGGACCAAGCCCACAAGCCAGGCCTGTGCCCTGACCAGGAATGAACTGTGACCTCCTGGTTCATAGGTCCACGTTCAACCACCGAGCCACGCTGGTTCGGCTCTATTCAAGGTTTAAAGGGACTTTCCTTAATGCCAACGTGTCCCTTTTATTGATCAAGCCCTGATGATTGCATTTGCAATTTAATTAAGGCTGGGCTATTTTTAGAGCGGAATGGAAAGCCTGGGAGGAGAGGATCATGTTGTTGCCTCTCAGCACCCAGGAAAGAAACAACAAATCAAAGGTTGAAAATGACAAGGAGAAGGGCAGGGAGGGAACTGATCCCGGACTTGAATTAGCAGCACATTTTGGTCTTTTTCCACCGTTGGCAGAGGGCAGCCTGACCTTGTTCACCCTGCTTGTCCTCAGCTCGCTCGAGGCCCCGCTCAGCAATGAGCACTCCGTGGGGAGCACGGGCAGCCCCCAGGCCGAAGGTTTTTCTTTCCTCCTGAAGAAGCCGGGCCTTCCCCACTGCCCTTTCCCTTTGATTGTGTAGAAAAGCCTTCTCAAGGTTCCCGCAGACTTTGCATTCATATGACTTTTTTATTCTTCTTCACTGTTTAAGGCATTACATGAGCCTCCTTTTCCCCCCATGGACCTCTCCCCGGGCGCCCCCATCCCATATGATTATTTATAGCACTGCCCGAGAAAACACAAGGCTCTGTCCTCTTTAAAAAAATTTCTTTTTCTTTTTTGTAACAAAGGAAAGATTTAGCCTGAGATCCTCTCCGGCAGTCCTGAGATTAAAACCATTATGCAGCAGCCTGTTCTGATTAGTGGTGGAGATGGTGATTCGGGCTGGCCTAAGAGAAAACCAAATTAAATGTAGACTAAAGGTGAGAGGGGACCCAGGGATGTCTATGTTAGCCAAGGAGGATCATGTGATTGGAGCTCATCATTGAATGCACATGTGCAGACCGTATAACTACCCCTACGTTTGATTTGCATGGCTGGTCTTGCCAAATGGAAGACAGGGCACCAACCAGCACTCACATTCATCAATCACAGCCTTTGGTCTCCCACCCCCCGCTTCTCTCTGTGCACAGGAATGCATGCCAAACCCTAACTAAATTGGATTTTTGTGTTGATAAAATTAAACCTGAGCTAAACTCCTGTTTTGCTTTAGGTTTCTAGAAACCACTAGTCTACAAAATCTCTATGGTGGTGAAAGACAGCCTTTCCAGGGGGCCTGATGGAGATGAATAAAATACCTGTGTTTTTGTACTGACAGTAAAAGATGGGTTCAAGGGAACGTCTTTGGAAGGTTTGAGTTCAGATGCTGTCTAGCCTGGAATGTGTGGCAGGAGGTGGGTAGAAAATTATGTCTTCATCAGGAATTTTTTGTGAGTCTACAATGTACTGGGCATCCAGACCTAGAGATCCAGGCATGAACAAAACCAACTACATCTCTGAAGGGCAGTCTAGAGGGTTTGCTGAGAAGACAAAAACCTGTAGGTAGTTTAAAATAAAAAGTTGCTACTGATCCAATGTCAAGGTGACACTTAGAGACAGATCTTGAACTAGAATACAGGTTCCATAACTCAGTTGTATTATCATGGCCCCAAGTGGAGCCCGGCCTTCGCCATAGCCCCACAACACATAGCAACAAGATAAAGCAAATCGAAGCACAATGCACCCCCTCCCCACCTTCATTCCCTCTGAATGGCACCCCCATGCACACAGAGGCACACCAGGAAAGTGACCTTTTCGTTAGGGGTCTCTGGCCTCTCTATGGAGGATTCCTCCTACGTCCCCTGAAATATCCCTCCTTTCCTTTGTTACATGTTCATGCTGCTCTTCTCATTGTATTATCATGGCCCCAAGTGGAGCCCGGCCTTCACCATAGCCCCACAACACATAACAAGATGAAGCAAAGCTGAAGCACAATGCGCCCCCCTCCCCACCTTCATTTCCTCTGAATGGCACCCCCATGCACACAGAGGGACACCAGAAAAGTGACCTTTTCTTTAAGGGTCTCTGGCCTCTCTATGGAGGATTCCTCCTATATCCCCTGAAATACCCAGCCTCCTTTCCTTTGTTACATGTTCATGCTGCTCTTCTCCATGGCAACCCCACCTCCCTAAGGAAGCCGTCACCTCTCCTCCCCTGGATTCCTTCTCCAGCCTCTGCAGCAGATCCTCTCTCCATTGCTGATGACCCTTTGGGGACCCATCCCCCTGTTTGCAGAGTTTCCTCACAGTGTGACTCCTGCCTCCTCCCTAGCAGAACTCAGGAACCAGGTTTTCAAAAGACTGTTTGCAGCCCAGCAGGCATGACTCCATGGTTGAATGTCAACCTATGAACCTGGAGGTCATGGTTCAATTCCAGGTTAGGGCACATGGTTGTGGGCTCGATCTCCAGTAGGGGGCATGCAGGAGGCAGCTGATCAATGATTCTCTCTCATCATTGATGTTTCTATCTCTCTCTCCCTTTCCTTTCCTCTCTTTAAAGTCAATACAAATATTTAAAGAAAAAGACTATTTTCAGCTAAGGTACATGATTGTGAGCTGGGCTCTGCCAAACAGATACTAATCAGTGTTTCTACATATTGCTGTCATAAGTTCCATACTTTACTTGTTAGCAATGAATTAGGTGAAGATCTTGATATTGTACCTCTGAAAAGTTGTCACAGGATACCTAACAAAATTTAATTACATGTTTTCATTCAAGGGATATAGTTTTTGTTAAAAAGAATCATTTCTGAAGATTATGTGGTATTTGGCTACACAGATACATCATAATTTATTTTTCAATACCATTTTAATATGGCTGGTTATTTTCAATAACATTCATTCATCCATAAAACATTCATTCATTCATCAATTACAAAAGCCAGTGTCTTTATAATGATTGCATTGTTTTATCTCTCTACCACCCATCTGAGAAACTGATGATCTTAAATCTCATATTCATCATCCCTTTGTTTTCAATAATTTAATACACTTTTTATTTTATATTAATTTTATATTTGCAGAACATTTTTTAAGATAGTACAGACAGTTCTCATACAGGCCACACCCAGTTCCTCCTAGTATTAATATGTCACACTACTATGGTCATTGTCTATGCCCCCTTTAGGTTTTCTCAGTTTTTACCTGCTTTATGTCCTTTTTCTGTTCCACCATCTCCTCCAGTTTCCACTTTCCATGTAGTCTCATATCTCTTGAAGCACCTCTAGACTCTGACACTTCAGATTTTCACTGTTATTGATGATCATAATATTTTTGAGGAGTGCTTGTCAGATCTTTTGTAGAATTCACTCAACTAGGATGCATCTGACACTTATTTTATGATTACACTGTGGTTATGGGTTTTGTGGAAGAAGACTGCAGAGGTAAAGTACCATTCACATCACACTGTGTCAGAGGTACATGCTACCAACATGACTTATCAGTGTTGATGTTGGCCTTGACCACCTGGCTGAGATAGTGTTTGATTTTCAAAATGGTCAAATAAAAAACAGTAATGTGTTTATCAAAAAGAATTTCTTCTCTATCATAAATAAAAACTTTCACAATTTCTATTAAGGAAACAATAAAAAACAATAACATCTAAAAGCAAAGACATACCTTTTTGCAGCTAAAATTCTCTAACTACAGAATAATTATAGTTATTGTGCTTCAGTGAATGACATGCATAATTCTAGCATGAAATTTTTCAATAAAATATAGGCTCAATTCTGGTTTCTAGCTGGGGAAGTTGGAAGAGAGCAGTACAGTAATAAATACTTCAGTCATTAAACTTGGACCAGAAATCAGTAAAAGGAAACTAAATAGGAGAGATGGGTCCTTTCACAAATGGCGATAAACATTCTCTATCCGTAAAAGAAGAAGTGGGGACACGTAAGTGAGCTGGTACATGAGGAACATTCACAGAGAGTGATGATTAAAGACAGAAAGCATAGGAGGCACAAAGAGCAGGGGTCCAGGTGACAACGATCCTTTAGCTTCAGCATTGGATTGAAGGGATGGTTCCGTTGATAGTGGCAGCAATCATGCCGTGTAGTGTGAGCAGTACTCCTCTTTCACGCTGTCTTCTGAAACCCAGCAAGCAGCGATGGGCAGGATTCGATGACGCGTCAGCCCACAAGAGATTAGAAGAAAACTTTATAGTGACAACTTTGATTTCCTACCAGTGGCCCCTGTGATTGTTGCCACTGAAAAGTGACGCCCTGTGTCCTTTTTCAGAGCGCTGTCCATGGTTCTTCAACAACTTCCTGAATGTTGGCTTCCAAGATAGATTTGCTAGAGAGCATATTTCAGTCATGGGAAGTAATTATCCAAATCGCTTGCTAATTATACATTACTTTGTATATCCGATGTTGGCAGTGTGGTTGGTATTTCCGTCTCTGGTTTGTGGGCTCTGGGCTAGTAGTCGTATTACGTCTGGCTGCTGGAGTTGATGCAAGACTGAGCCCACAGCCTGACATATCTTGATGTTATCAAGCCAACCGCAGTCTCCGAGGGCCCATCTGAAGATAGATCAGTTTGCTATAAAAGTCTGTATTTTACACAACTCAAAGCAAAATTAAACAACCGTATTACTTGTTACAGCCTATTCAAGACAGCTGCAATTGTACATGTGGTTTCTCACAGGGATTCTACCATATATAAGACCATATTCTTCCACTAATGATACTGAGGCCATCATTGCAGGGCCCTAAGTCTCTCATATGATGAAAATAGTCAATCAAAAAAGGTAATCCATTCACAGAACAGCAAGAGCCAGATACAACAAGAGAAGTGGCTAGTTTTCCTTTATTAATTTAGTATTCACTTACGGCGTCTGTGCTCTGCAACACACCGTGTTACTCACTGAGACGATGAAGCATAATACGTCACTAAAGCAAGTCACAACAGAAAGGGGAAAGTGGACCAACTTAGAAACCAATCCTAAATCACAAATCATAGTTTGTTTCGACACCAAAAGTATCCCCCTATAGCCACACAATGTGCTTTGTTCTATGGAAGAAGTAGCTCTTTCAGTGTTGGAAGGAGGAAGGGGTGATGTTTAAAATAGCTCACAGTTAAAAAGGCAAAGGCACCTCTGGTCCGAAGGTTAAAAGGCCCAGCTGTGAATCCTTTAGTGGCCCAGGTAGCGACTAAAGAGGGCCCTGGGCAAGCAGAGTGGCAGGGCCCCACTGGCAGAGCCAGTCAATGTGTTAACAGCGGATATGCCCGCGTATCAGCCTGGGCGATACATGAGGCATCACTAGGCCCATTTTCAGGTGATGGAGATGTGGCGCTTGAGGCAATTACATCATCTCCCCCTGGCCACCGAGCTAGGCAGTGTTAGAGCTAGAATTTGAATAATGCCGTCAGATGCCCAAGTCTACCCTTCTATCTCCCTTCCACACGTGAAACAGTTGAACAAACACTCCTAGGATTACTAGTATAGGGAGGAGGAAATAGTCTTGTCTGACTGAAGGGATTTGAGGGAGCTGAGGAGAAGCATGAATGTGCCCGGATTTTAAGGGGCAATCAGGTTTCAGGAGACACTTATATCTGCAGTGTCGTTGGTGGAAGACATGCAAGCAAACATGTTCCACAGATTTGATCACTCAAAGCTTTGGGCGAGTCATGTATTTTTGTGTGTGTGTGTGTGTCCCTGGGTGGGCTCGAACATGTATTCTTTTTTTATTCTTTGTTGTAATTCAAAGAAGTTCTTTTAAAACTTAATCCTGAATGAGATGTATCTAAACTCAGTTTCTCAATTTTCAAGGAGCAGTAAATTGGATACTTTGACTTAAACTCTTTTAATTTGTTAACCTCAATTTTTACAACATTTAGAAGTAGTTTCTAAGATGCCCACTTTTCTGGAAAAGCATTACATATGAAACAGATCTCTTTTATTAAATGTAAGTAGAATAAAAGATGTCAGGACAGGGGGTGACAGTGGGCAAGGACTTGTCATCCTGAGGCTGAAGTTGACTCATCTTTGGCTCTTTCTTCTGGCTGTGCTTCCATCATCACGCGCTCCCTGCCCAAGCTCCTTGAGTTAATCGTGCCCCAGCCTGCTTTCAGGCCTCATCTCCACGATGCTGTTGGGTTGGTGAATTTCTTTCTGCTGTTAAAACACTCTTGACCTTGTTCCTTTTGTCTCCTTCTGTCCCCAGCACTGCCAAGGCCTGCAGAGCTATCAGGCGGTGATAGGAGGGCCTCCAGAGACACTAAACAGATGGCATGGATGGTAGGCCCATGGGTTATCGATGAGTTCTTCTGAATTTGTATTATATAGAGAAGCGATTAAGCCCCTCAACGTACAGAAGACCTCCTAACCGTGTAAAGGAAGTAAGGGATTTGTGCGAGCTGGAACAGAGGGGCTAGCAATGGGCCTGGCTTCCAGTGGGATTTCTCCTCCGGTAAAGACATTTGAGTGTCACTCACCTGTGGGCTGGGACCAGGTTGCCCCCTAGTCCAGCAAAGACCATTTTAACCCCATCGTTGGGCTTTCTGATGATTTCTGCAGACCAGCTCCACTAGCAAGACAATTTCCCAGGTAGCAGCCACCTCCAGCACCTGAGTCTCCATCCAACCCAACAGGCTATGTCACTGATGTCCTGCTGTTCCCGCAACAAAGCCCAAGTGAGGACTCTCCACCCAATGCATACTGAGCTGGAGTTGAATGTGTATTCGTAGAAATCAGTAGTGAAAGGAAGAGTAAGTTATTATAGAATTGATGTGGCAGAAAAAGTGAAGGACTATCTTACAAAAATCAAAAGTCCATTCATTAATATGTCGATGACAAAAATTATATCTTATTTTATACTTGTATCCCTGGATTCATCCACAGTGCCTACCATATAAATATCATTTAATAATTATAAGCTAAATTAAACTAATACTATTTGTTCAAATCTGCGTATGCAAGAGCAATGCCAGTAGACCAAGAAAAACTGCAGGCCAGGGAGAAATAAAATGAATTTGGCTGTAAAAGGGTATTAATTAAATATGCATGGCCAAGAAAAAGAAATAGGCCGCCAATAAGAAAACCGTAGAGCAGGGAGCGAAACAAATTGGAATTAGAATTTCCATGTCTCTAGACATGCTTGATTTTACTAATCGCCCTCCCACCACTGCACTCAACATCTTAGGCATGGATGGACAAAGACTGGCTGTGGGAGCATGAATCAGAATAGAAAACATGCCTATGTTTACCCGAAATGTGTGCAAGTATGTCTTCTTCGTAGTTCCGTATGCACTTTCCATTACATCTCATAGTCAGCAACCTCAAAGCTTGTTATCTCCTCTTCCATGGCCTCAACCATCTTAATCAACAGCCACCGTGGACTAAGCACGGAGGAGCATCACTGCATTTCATCTCTGCCGCGGTCACATCAGCAGGA